GGTTTAGGGTTTAGGGTTCGAGCCTAAAGTCCTGAGAACCTTTGCGATGCTGAGGTGGCGTCGCCTTACGTGCTTCCGCTCACCTCTGGGCCAAGGCTGCCATGCTGGGTGTTACTTGAAGGGTCTTGGGACTTAGTCACGGGGGGTAACTTTTGCAAAACATACTTATAAGCCCAATCAAGGTACTTATAACCTTATTTGCTAAGTCGCATGACCCTCCAAGTAGGGTTTGCTCCTGGTCTAAACCCTAAACCCTAAACCCTAAACCCTGAACCCTAAACGCGAAACCCTTACTGTTTGTTCCTAGACTTTTCCTCGTTTCAGTCTTCGCAGGAGCTCGCGGCTTCGCGCGCATGGACCTCCATGAGCTGGAGGCAAGGGGTTTGGGGGTTAAGGTTCACGGTTTCTACTACCGTATAATACAGTATAGTATGATACAATACAATATGCTATAATATAAGATAAGATAAGATGATAAGGTAAGAGAACAGAAGAGAACATAGCATAACCTAAGATCATATAGTATAATATCATACATAGCCATATAGCGGTTTGAAGCAATTAGTACAGTGTATGAAAATGTAGTAGGGTATAGGAATAACGGGTTTAGGGTTTGGGGGTTCAGTGACGGCCCGGCAGCAATTGAGCCTATTCGAGCCCATGCAGGCCAATTTTGAAGACGTTGCTTTTTGCACTGGGAGGCCCGTGATTCAATCTCGTTATAGGAGTCGAAATACTGAGAAATCAAAGACCCTTAAAGTCCCGCTGCATGACCATCGTCTCATGTATACACACAACAAACCTGGTCTACTTGTTGAGGCCCCTACATTACCCTAAACCCCAAGCCCTAAACCCTAAACCCTAAATTCTAAACCCTAAACCCTAAGCCCTAAACCCTCCCCTGAGCCCTAAACCCTAAACCCTAAACTCTAAACTCCAAACTCCAAGCTCTAAACCCTAAACTATAAAACCTAAACCCTAAACCCTACCCTGAGTCTAAACCCTAAACCCTAAGCTCTAAACTCCAAGCTCTAAACCCTAAGCTCTAAAACCGAAACCCTAAACCCTAAACCCTACCCCAGAAATCCTGGGCCAGATCCCCGGTTGGCCTGAATCCCGCCCCTTTTCACAAGGCTTCCTCCCTCATGTTCTACCCCACCAAGTTGAGGGTTCAGTGTAGGCTGAGGGCTTAGGGTAGGGTTTAGGGTTTAGGGTTTCGGGTTTAGGGTTTAGGGTTAGGGTTTGGGGGTTTAGGGTTTGGGGGTTTAGGGTTTAGGGTTTTCCGCCAAACTCGAATTGATATCGAGACCCGAAGCCCAAGCCTTAAGGTCCGAAAGCTGCAGTTCTTACCACAGCCCAGTGTTCAGGGTTCGGGGTTTAGGGTTTAGGGTTTAAGGTTTAGGGTTTAGGGTTTAGGGGGCATGCTCGTGTGAAGCTTTACCGAGGAATGTTTCGTTGCCCATCCCTCTGCTTCCCCCCCCCCCTCAGTGATTCTTCGGCACCTCACGGTTCAAGCTCTATTTGTAGAGTTTCTAGTTCGTTTTTAGGGTTTGGTGGGGTTTACAGCAGAGGCCTCGGCACTAAACCCTACATCCTAAACCCGAAGCTTCTGTAGGGGTTTCTTGCCTCGGAGCTCGAGTCCGCAAGTCCGGCAGTGGCATTCCTGTGAGGCGCGGTGGCTGGCATTTCGGGAGGTGTACCTTGACATCTTGGAAAAAGGAGGTGGGGGGTTTGGAGTTTAGGGTTTAGGGCCGGCGAAGCTTCAGTTCATGAGTATATAACATAGACTATAGAAGCCTAAATAGTTACCAATATCATTCCTTAGGGTTCCTGATTATAAGTTTACTATACAGGAGCCCCAAACCCTATTTTAAATTTTAAGGCCCCTACAGTATTCCAACTCTTAATCCCTAGACTCAGATCCTAGCCGTAGCCCGCATGTCATGGCTTTGCGGCCGGCGAGTGTTACTTCGAGCTTTTGTTTTGCTAGGCCCCAAATCCTGCGATCTATTTAAACTCGAACGCGTTTTAGTGCATGGGCAGCTGGCAGTACCCAGAGCGTACAGCTGCTCGTTTCTGCTACTATCATGCTTAGGGTAAGTATCCTCTCCCCATTTCGGTACTTCATGGTACTACTTTCAGCACCGTAGGGCCAAGGGCCGCTCAGAGGGATCTCGGCCCTAGGTGCAATTGGGGATGGGGAGGGGTTCCATAGAAATAGGGTTTAGGGTTAAGGGTTTAGGGTTTAGAGTTTAGGGTTTAGCGGTCATTGACGGGAGGAGGCGACTAGCAAGGGCTTACATTAGCGCCGCTTGTTCTCTGCAGCTCCCGGATGTAGATAAAGGGTCCTACTACGTCGGGTCTGTTGTTGTTGTTGTTGTTGTTGTTGTTGTTGTTGTCTGAAGCTCCCACCTCCTGCGCTAGGCTTACGGGCAGAAGAAACCACAGTTTACCACTACTTCAGCCAAATATGTATATACGCACATATACGCAAATATATCTTCAAGTACAACGAGCACCGCGCGTACATACCCCTGAAAGCCCAGAATCTCAGAGTCCACACGCTCTTACACATGAAAAGTGGGTTCACCCCTCAGCCCTAAGTCCAAAACACTAGGCCCTGAACCCTAAACTCGAAAACCTAAACCCTAAACCCTAAACCTGAAAGCCTAAACCCCTAAACCCCTAAACCCCTAAACCCTAAACCCTTAAAGGGAGCCCTAGGTCTCTCTCTCATAAGCCCTAACACCCGTCGCCTCCAGGACGAAGCCGTGAGGGCCTCCGCCAGCGCCTTGACGCTTTGGAAGAGGCCCTGAACCCTCAGCCCCGAAGCCCTCAAAACTCGAGGCCCTTTAGGGGTTTAGGGGTTTAAGGGTTTTTTTAGGGGTTTACGGTTTAGGGGTTTAGGGTTTAGAGGTTTAGAGGTTTAGAGGTTTAGGGTTTATGGGTTTAGGGGTTCAGGGGCTGGGGTTTAGGGGTTGCGGGGTTTAGGGTTTAGGCTGGGAGCCCCAAGCCCTGAACCCTGAGTCCTAAAAGCAACCCGAAGCCCGAACTCTAAAAGCCCATGCCCCCCCGCCCTAAGTCCTAAGACCCTAGGCCCCCTCAACCCTGAGCCCACCCCCCAGTTTTATTTATGGTAATTAAGCTCTCCTAAATATCACAAAAAAATAATAGTACTAATAATAAAGATAATAGCAATAATAATAATGTGCATTCGGTTTTCATGATTTCATTGCCGTTGCGCTTCCGTGCCCTTTGTAGCCTTAAACTCTGGTCCAAGGGCTTCGAGTTCAGTACCCCAGAAGGGTTCCTTCGCGGGTATCCTCAAACGGTTCCCTTCAGGGGTAGTATAGGGCTCTAGAATAGGGTTCTCCTTTAAGGGTATATGGCTTTTACTATAGGGTCCCCTTAGAGGGTTTGCGGTTTCGCTTAGGGTGCAGGGCTTGCTTTTGTTGGGGTTGAGGGTTTAGGGTTTAGGGTTTTAGGTTTCAGGTTTTGCTTGAGAGAGGGCAGATTTCAGGGCTTGCTGTTCTTAGTTTGATCTTGAAGCGGGCATCTCAAGAATTTCAGGTTCCGAGCCGTCGTGAACACGCGCGGTTGCTACTGGCCCTAATCCTAATCCCTAGAACCCTTTCAAGCCTAAACCCTAAACCCTAAACCTAATCCCTAGAACCCTGTAAACCCTAAAGCCTAAACCCTAAACCCAAGAGGGATTCCTCCTCAGAGCAGCCTTTGCCGTGCAATCCTTTCACCCAAGACTGCCCCGCAGCCCAGGCCGAGAGGTTTAGTGTTTAGGGTTTAGCAAGCTTGAATCCCGCATTCCTAAACCGAAAAGGCCTATGAATCAATGAAGCCCAACCCTAAACCCCTAAACCCTAATCCCTAAACCCCAAACCCTAAACCCTAAACCCCAAACCCCAAACCCTAAACCCTAAACCCTAAACCCTAAACCCTAAACCCTAAACCCCTTCGGTGCACGGGGCCATGGAGTCTCCGGCTCTGCGGCTTCCGGAGCTTCCGGGCAGCGCGCCGCTCGGAGAGAAGCGAAAGCCTCGTGGG